CATCAAGGTCCTATAATGTCCAACGTATATACAAGGTTTGAACAAAATCCATCTGTAAACAGCCACGAAATGCTTGGTTTTGATGATTTTTAGCACAAAAATGGCCGCCATTCGTCCATCTTGAATCAGATCGTGGAACAAATTGACGTGCATATGTATGATATCATGAATGATGTATATGTGAAGTTTGATTGTGATTGGTCCAGGCATTTCTAAGATACAGGTCCAGACGCACGCACAGACGGACGCACGGACGTCAAAACATAAGTTCCCGTTTTCGGACTTCGTCCGAACAGGGACTAAAAAATCAAATAGTAACTTTGCGCCCACACTCAAGCTGAGTAGAATGAGAAGGTGTTTTATCGCAAATTTGTAGGAGGAGATACATTTGGCGCGAAGCTATCCAAAAAACAGTTTTTTGGCTATTGCTATGGCAACGGTGGGCCTGCCTGCCAAGTGTAAGCGAAATCGGCCAAGCAAAAAAAAAAATCACAGAAAAAATATTACGTGAAAACACTAGAACACACACACACAAAACCTACAAAAGTGATTATAAGGGTAATCCTAGCGGAGCAGATTGCCAATATGGCAAATGCAGCATACAGAAAATGTATGTTTTGCTTGATCAAAGATATAGGAAACAATCGGCTACCTTGCTAATAGAGGGACTGAGATGATCAATCTCCCTTCCGTCACACAAATCAATGTACGGTCTCCATCTGTCTGTTATGGGCGGGGCAAACAGAGCCACCCTGCTTGTTGATACGGTCATGGAAGCGTATAGGTTAACTGCTTCTTTATCGGCCCGTTTAGAACACCACCAGGTGAAGGCACACGAGGTGCGTGGGCCTCGCTCGAGCAGGGTTCTGGAGATCTCAGAATGTCTTCATTAACTATTACCTGAAAGACCTCCAAGCACTGCAGGAGGGCCTCTACAGGTTGGTTCCAGTGGCGACGAGTCAGACTGTGTTCGCTGACCCAGCCCGCACCACCAAGGGGCCTTATGCACGAAAGCGTTAGCGCGATAGTGCCTTCAGTCGAAACCAGCCTCCTTTGCCTGACGCTACCGGTTTTCGTTCACCGCTATTGAACCCTAGAAATATACTGTTTCAATGCATTAAAATTGTTGGGGGCCCTATTTATTGTTCAGTGAACCGACTTTAGTAGCCTCCCTAAATTGGGGGGAATCTACCCTCGGGCACCCGGTCCCTGAAGAGTCACCTAATTGTTTTATCCTGGGACTAGACTCCTTGTCGGTGAGTAACTTTAGATTTCTCAGTTTTGTTTTTGGACCTTCCTTTTTGGGGTCGAAAAAAATACATTTCAGCCGCCGGAGCTTCCCCACCTTCGGTGAGCGTGCTACTCTGCCTACGAGCAATAAATGGAATTCATTATTTCCACGGACTTTCTGGTAGGTGATGTAGTAAACTATTAGGGTTGTACAAACCACTTTGTTTACCTAATCATACCTACCAGAAAGGCTGTGGAACCCGCCCACCTCTCCACAAGCTTCCGGCGGCCCATTGTGGCAGTGGAAACGTTTGTGGGAATATCAGATCACACCTCGTATGCGTGCGCGGGGTGGCCCCTTAGGAGAGGTTTTTTTTTCTATAGGAAATGCTACCCTAAGATGTAGCATACATACATTTTCTTCTATGCTATCGATAAAGAGCCATTGCTCGAAACGTCTAGCTATTTTTAATAGTTACTTAGGACTACGATTACCAAATATTATCTACTATATATCCAGCATACATGCTTGTGAACTGACCTTGACATCAGCATCAAAGAATCCAGTTTGTAGTCCTAGTACAACACCAGCACTTGCTGTTTGATAACTGTACAAATAGATACATACAAAAGTATTAGAATTGAATAGCACATTTGATGAGTTTTACACATACAACGTACTTGATTCAACACTTTCAGACACAATCATCATGTACATGGACAGCTACATGTATATCACTTACAGTTGATTATTGTCATCATTAACCTCCTCATCTTCATCAACATCATCCAATTCCACCTGGTCCATCAGGGCTAATTAAATAAAACACATACATAATTAGATACAAATAAAAAGGACTAATTAATTATAACCAACACTAATGGAAATACAAGTCTCTTCCATTTATGAGTGAGATACTAAAGCAGTAAAGATAAACATTGTTACAAAATAGAGTGCAGCTGGCAATGAGACATGCATTAATGAATAACACATAATAGACATGAAATAATCAACATTACAAGCTAGAGAAATCTTTGTAATATGATGAAATTCAAGATAACCCCAGTGAAAATTCCATGATATTTCCAGTCAGGATATTTGATTTTTGTTTATAGTATATTTCAGGTTTTCTTAAATAGGTGCAATCATCAATACAAATAAAATAAGTACAACAACATGCCTTTTTCTAATTCCTCTTCTAGTGCTTGTTTTTCCCTTTCTATATCTATACTACTCTCTCTAGCTAATACATATTCCACTGAATCATTATCAGAGCTGCCACCATCAACCAAGACATTTTCAGCTTTTACTGGGCTCCTTGGACTCATCATAGGGCTAATACTCAATGACTTAAGGGATCCTCCTTCAGCAGGACTATTTGTTGGTGTCTTAGGGATGCTTATATCAATGTTGTTTGAAGCATCACCATCAGGTGAGGTGAGACCCCTTCGTGAATTAGATTTGTTATTACTATCAGTCGAGTCTGTTCTCACCGCAGCACCTACTAAAGCAAAATGACAAGAAAGCAGAATGGATCCAGCATTACGGCAAAAAATCAAAATGCAGCAAAATTATATTAAAGATATAAAAAAAAACAAAAAAACAAGCAAATGAAAGATTTACTAGGAAAATGCAAACTTAGAATAACTAAATATAATACTACTAGAGAAACTATAACATTATAGAGAACATACCGAGTATTATAGCTGTATAACAGAAAATATGGAAATAGGGATTGTTTACTATTCTCACTACCTAGAATTAACTCACTATCTGACTTATCTTCTGTCTGTATAGTTGACATTTGGTAACTGGAACTTGTTACTTCAAATAAGTAAATACTCTCTAACTTAAGTGGTTCTTCAAGATTGGGAGTATTATTTGGTGTCCTAGGGGTGCTTATTTCCTGACTGCTAGAAAGTGTCTCAGATGGGATGCTAAGAAGTGTTGAGCCCTGTATCGGTTGGAATTCATTGTTCAACATTGTATCTGTAAAACCAATATTATTGGTAATTCATAACTAGTGAGGCTAAATTTAAATAATTTTATAATATTATTAAATAATTACTTATGAGAATATAATTATTTAGAAAATGACACACTACACGAATATTTCAGTATAAATACTGCAAAACACAAATTATAACCTGCCTTCAGAGTTTAAGACTTTGTTTACTTCCCTGTCTACACCACTCTCATAATCTTTACATTCTTTAGTTGTGTCTCCTGAATTCTCAATCTCTGCTGCAACTTGAATACTTATACAAGCTAACTCTATGGGAGAAATGCTGTCTGACATAGACAGCTCTCCTTGGGTAGGTGTATTATTTGGTGTCTTAGGGTGCCCTATCTCTGGATTCCCTGATGTATCTTCATTGAGCAAGCTAAGGGGTTCTTCAACTGAGCTCCAAAGTGGAGTGGAATCTAGGTCTATATCTGCATTTATCACTTCAACACCTATTTTTGAAAGCATAAGAAAAAGCTATGTATCTTCTAAGAAAACAGCAGCATGCAAATACAAGCAGACAATCAAATGCAAGCAAGGTACATGTACGAGTTTGTTGTGATACACAGCATTGGAAAAAGAGAACCATCTCAATAGACAAAGCACAACTGACCATGTTCCCAATAAGTTTTAAACTTACGAGAACTGCTCATCTCTTCCTTATCATCTTTTTTATCTTTGTCCTCGCCCTGTTTATCATCTAGTTTCTTTTGATCCTTTTCTGTCTTTGCCTCATCTTTCTTATCAGTTGTTTTACTCCATGCGTCTTTCGTTGCAGGAACATCTTCTGTGTCCATTTTCTTGTCATTCGGCACTTCAAGCGTCTCTTCAACTTCACCAGCTTCATCTGTAGCAAGATTCAGATAACAAGAATCATTAAAAACAGTGACATCTTAAATTGTGCATGTTTACATATGTCTGAAGGGGTTTCACCAAGTTCTATACAACTAGATTTAGAAAGTCAGAAGTTGAAATATGTAACAGTATTAAATCATTTGGTATAAATAACATGCTATAACTATACTCTAACAAATGTTTTGAGGTAAACAGTGGTATTGAATGAAAACAATACTTTGGAATCATACCTTCAACAATGGTTGATTTCACTACAATGGTTTGTCCCTTGGCAGGTGATGGTGATTTCTCTATGACTATAGTACCCTTATTGATGGGTTTGCTGGCTATGACAGGTTTATCTTTCACTACTGTCACGCCCAGAGCCCTATCTTCAGGTTTCGTGGCAGCATCTGTGTAAAAAAAAATGGGGAAAAAATACATGAATACTGATATTGACTATTCAAAATCATCTCATTCACTACACAAAGCCATAGTTCTTACCAATTTCTTGTTTCCCTATTGTAATTGTTTCCGAAATAGCTGCTTTTTGTAAAACATTAACAACTGTAGATCCCGGTGTTGTCCACTTCTTTCTAGGTCCGGGTATAGGAGCAGCGGCAGCCTCTACACCTCCCAGTACAGCTCCCATATCAGGATTCTTTACAACAACGTCACCAGCACCAGTAGCTGTCAAATATAAAATATAATAATTTAATTAATAATCTCCACATTTTTCATTGACAAGGCATGTATGCCACAGTCCCTGTTAGTTATCGAATTTAAGATATATAGTTTTGTATAGCTGGAATATAAACATGTCAGGAATATGATTATGATGATTGTTCAACATTTAAATGATTAACATTTGTCTATGATCGTTAAACGAGTATTAATTAAAACAGCATTAATTAAAACAAAATCAGCCATATAAAAATTAAATAAAATTTGAACATAGTCAGTTTGAACATATTCAGTCAAAGCATGTCAGAGAAATGGCTCTAGAAGTCCATTCATTAAAACAAAATGGCCACTAGACAGCCATTCTGAATCTGATCTAAAAAATAAAATAACGTGCATTAGGAACCTGTAATGTCTAAGGGACGACATCAAAAGATCGATGTCGGATAAACAACTTATTTCCTTTAGTTTGGGGGTGGGGGGTTTTGACCTCAAAAAGTTTCCATCCTACAAAAACGATTTTATTTTTTAATGAAGTCAAAAAAATCTTGAAGTATTTGTAGTTTGTTTGTTTTTCTATCCAATCATGGACAGAAATAACCGAAAAGGGAAAAAACAGAGTGTAAATCTGCGTCAAATGAGGTGCATTTGTAAAATCTTTTTACACCCACCCGACAACCAACTGCTATGCTATACTACTGTCCAATTATCAATTTGTATTTAATGGTGAAGGTAGTCTGACGCCATGACCAATATTTATCAATTAAGTTTCAGTGGGGGGTAGGGGGGTTTGGAAAAAAACTAAAGGAATTAAGTTTTTTATCCGACATCAATCTTTTGACGTCGTCCCTAATGTATATACCAAGTTTGAACAAAATCCATCCATAAATGCTTGATATTGGATGATTTTTTAACCCCAAAATGGCCACCATTCGGTCATTTTTAATAGGATCGTCAAACTAGTATATCTGTATATCTATGACATGATGTATAATGAATATTCAAAATTTTAACATAATCAGTCACAGCAAGTCAGAGATATGGCACTTGAACCACATTCATTAAAACAAAATGGCCACCAGTCGATCCATTTTGAATCTTATCTGAAAACAAAATGATGTTCATCAAGGTCCTATAATGTCCAACCTATATACCAAGTTTGAACAAAATCCATCTCTAAACAGTCAAGAATGCTTAGTTTTGTTGATTTTTAGAACAAAAATGGCTGCTATTCACCATGTGCATAAGTATAATATCATGTATGATGTATGTGTGAAGTTTGATTGTGATTGGTCCAGTCATTTCTAAGATACAGGTCTGGACGCACACACAGAGGTCAAAACATACATTGTAAGTCCCCGTTTTCAGACTGCGTACGAACGGTGACTAAATATATGCCTATAATTTAACACTGTTGGTTAATATTTGTTATGACCATAATTTGCCATATTCATATACATGACTTGTATATTTCCATGTGGGCTATTTCACTTACACAATCACAAAATAATTCCATATAAAGCAATTCTGTTTTTGACAAGTATTGCCGTTATCTATTGCCAGGAAATGTAAACTCATAACATATTGCTCACAGTGGGCAATGCATGTTACTCATATGAATACATGCATAAAGCCACTCTGGATCCTGGACAAATGCCCCCCGGACAAACGCCCCCATAGGACAAACACTTGTTTACGTGAATTTATAATAAGTTGATGAACTAATATGTTGATAACGAGGTGTCGTCGGCAAACACTTATTTACATGAATTTATAATAAGTTGACAAAGAGATGAATTAATAAGTTGACAACTAGGTATTGTCTGCTTTATTAGAAATAATACTAATAACAACGAAATGTACAATTTCTATTCTACACAAAAAAAAGTAATAAAATAAGTGTTAGTTAGTTCGTACACAAAATTAAAAATAATGATATTTATACACACTACTGGTAGTTTTTAGTATTAAAACTGGAGATTATGGGATATTTCTCTCAAAAATTCCAACACATGACGATTCTCAAAATCATTCACAATATCTCTGATTCTGGTGGTGACTCACGTGTTGTCACGTCATTCATTGCTTGCTCGCGCTTTAATACATCCAGAAATCGCCAGATATTATGGTTATGCCACCCCTTTACAGCATTATTTGTGCGTGGAAGGTAGTCAATAACTCGGACGTGCTTATTCCACATACTGAATGGGAATCGAGGTGATCTTCTGGCACGTCGTCGCAATCTTCCAATATAGGTGTCTTCAAAATAATCTACGATGGACTCAAGTTCATCTCGCAGTTCTTGTTGCAATGTTTCAAAAGCGTCAATAATTTCATCTTCGGGGACAAATGCAAGAGCTCGTAGCATCCTGGTATCTACTGTGAAGTCAGCATCCATCTGATATCTCTCCTGTAGGCCTTTACTTTGCACTTTACGGTAAATGTTTTGTGATAGTAGTAGTAAAAGCATACTTTTATCGTTGTGTTTGGGAATACATCTTCTATTGTACTTTTAGCAGCTATTTCATAGTCTATAAGGACACTTTGCGAGTTCAAGTTTGGCCGGAGGTTAACAAGCTGGTGAAAAAGATCTCTGTATGTCGCTTGTTGTTTATTTGGTAGTAGTGCGTAAACACACAGAATTACCCTGTTTGCAACTAAAGAATGTACAGTGTACAGTTGATAAAATAACTCAGGCACGACTTTAAAGGTCCCATCAGCAAACCAGTCACTTGAACTCTCCAACAACCTCATGTTCTTAGCAGTTGAATACAGGAGCATGCGTCGATCACTGTCTGCACTGTCGTATAGCAGAAAATCCTCTCCATTTGATGTTTTCTGCAACAAAAAATAGGTGTAAAATGAATGTTAAATAAAATCAAAGAAAGCTTAGAAAGAACTCCCATGTGCTGAGAGTATTGGAGACACATTAAATATAATTCGAAATTACTTAGCTGAAAACTAATTATGCAAATCAGAAAATTAATATGACCAGATTTGAGTGTAAAACTAATGAGGTCTGCGCAATGTAACAGAAAATCTATGTCTCCAAGTTTAATTGAAATGTGATTAGAACCAAAAAATTATGAATTATTATGCTTATTAGGGAATTAATATGAACAGATTTTTACCCCAAACTAATTAGGTTTGTACATTGTCCTAGAGCATCTTTGTACTAAGTTTCATTGAAATGGAATAATTAGTACCGTGAAAACTCCAAAATTTCGACCCCTCTAAAAATTCGGTCGCCTATTTATTTGCCGGTTTTCGGTGTTTTATTTACCTCCAAATTTTCGACTCCACTAAAAATTGCCGACTCATTCTTATTCGAAAATTGCGACCAGTTTTAGTTTTCCCCCAAACGAAAAAAAACCCGATGTGAGCGTTCAAACGGGACCTTCCTCGAAGGCATGAATCCGGGTTTCTGATTGACTGAGAGATTTTTATTTTATTGGTAACGAAAATATATTCTAAATAAACGAAGTTTCAAATAAAAACGAACACAAAAATCTCGGCATGCTGCGTTTCTGAATTGTTGATTATTACTGTACTCAGTA